ACCTAACACCAAATGGGAAGGGTATTTTCTACCTAACACCAAATGGGAAGGGTATTTTCTACCTAACACCAAACAGGGAGGGTATTTTCTACCTAACACCAAATGGGAAGGCTATTTTGTACGTAATACCAACAGGAAGGCTATTTTCCAGCTAACACCAAATAGGAACGGTATTTTCTGTCTAAAACCAAATAGGAAGGGTCTTTTCTACCTAATGCCAAATGGGACGGTTATTGTCTACCTAAAACCAAATGGGAAGGGTATTTTCTACATAACACCAAATGGGAGGGGTTTTTTTTTTACCTAACACCAAAAGGGAAGGGTATTTTCTACCCAAAGCCAAGCAGAAATGGTATTTTTTACCTTACACCAAACAGAAAGGGTATTTTTTACCTAACACCAATTGGGAAGGGTATTTTCTAACTAACATCAAATGGGTGTTTGCTTTTATTCATGTACTATAATAAATATTGGCACAATTGCCTTTTAAGAAGATTTGTGTATATTGCCTTGAAAATCCCAAGGGAAAAATGTGGAGGTTCTGTATGTTTTGACCAAGGTCGATGTCATCCAGGGCTCTATTTGAATTCCTTGATGGAGGATAACTTTTTTTTCTTTTGCTTTTTTTATATGTAAGTTATATTTGTGGGTGGTTTTACAATTGTTTGGTGCCATGAAATGTAAAAGTATTTTTCATATTGTTCATACAAATTTTGGTACCTTCTGTCTGTACACTTGGTGATGCTGGTTTGCTTATTTGAACAGATAAAGACGGAAAATGAATCCAAACGTTTAGAGGGTGTGATGTTCAAAGTTTAAAAGGAAGGTTATACAATATAGAAAAAAAAACAACTTACAGAATATTACTGAGAATTACTGAGATTGTTGTATAAAATGAAGATCTATACAAAGGACAATCACAAGTATGGTGAAATATTATATTTTTCATAAAATAATTAAAGGAAGATATTTTTGTCCCTTTAGATGAGAATATAATTTTATATTATACCAGCAAAAAGAGTTCTATATGTTCCTACATATCTCTGCATCCCCTGTTTTTTTTTCACAGGTAGGTAATATGTTGTGTGCCATAATATTAATATAAATTGTTTGTGTACTCATAATCAGCATAAAAGTTACAGTACTTAAAGTCAGATCCAACCAGGACTGCTGTTAGAAATCATGGGGCCTCATACAGCCAACCTGACAGCCCCCCCCCCCAAACAAACAGTTTATTATGCTTCAGTTATGAATGAATACAGTGAGTGATTGGTACCGATCACTCATTATGTCCATTCAGGAAAGGAAGGGGCTGGTAAATGAGACATTTTAACTGGACCCTTCCCCCATTGTCCATTCTGAAGAATCCTATTGTGTGCTTACAGCTGCCGGCGGGAAGGAAGGAATGGTAGCACTGCGGGGGTGGGGGCACACAGGGAGGCCTGGGTGGCTGGGAGAAATGTAAGATGCACAGGAAGGGTGATAGATTTGGCAGGGGCAATTACTGGAACCAATCCCTTGTATGGCTTTCGCTGCAGCAGTTGAAAGCCAGAAGGAGGGAGAGGAGAAGAAGCCAGCTTTCAGCTGCTGCAGAGGAAGTTATACAGGGGATCAGTTCCAGTAATTACCCGCCCTCCGCACCAATCACCCTCCCGGCTCACATCTGATTCACCCAGCTGCCTGGTCCCCCTGCTGGACTGGGCCCTGTACAGGAGGACTGGTAGTAGCCCCTTATCCATGGCCCTAGATCCAGATAATTGTTTAGTTTTTTTTTCAGTTTTCAATAGAGCTGGGCAGAGTTGAGTTTGTTTTTGTTTTGTATTTTTTTTGCCTGCTTGTTTCAGAGATTTCCCCTCACTTCCTGTCCCAATGACACCAGGACAGGAAATAAGAGGCTAATGGAAATGGTAAGAGACTTTGGAGGCACTACAGGAGTGGTTGAAAATTAGAGACATGATGCAGTAGACAGTCAGAGACTGGGGACATGTCAAATGAGACTTCTAGAGATCACTTCCATTACAGTCCTGTTACACATCCATGCTCCCTGTCCCACTCCTGATTTTTGGGATCCAAAGGCTGCACAGCAAGTGCCAAGGAGCCACCTACAGGCATTATTCAACAGGTTGGGCACCAGGGCTTTAGAGACAGACAGGCAGAGTTTTGTTCAGGAGACCAGACATAAACCCTGTCCCTGACCCTACTAACATAGCACCATGAGATTGTTAATTTGTCCAATTAGAATGGATGAAACCTTTAGTTTTCCTTCCCACCAGCACTCATTGTCCTACAGTTTTCAGAAAGTAAAAATGACTAAATGATACACAGGAAGCTAAGAAATACAACAAAAACACAACAATGTTTTATTAATGTAAATCAGATCAGCACTGGACAAGAATCAATTTTTTCTATTCATTGCTATACTTTTTTTTCTTTTAAGGAACCAAATTTTAAAAAATAAAAGTAAAGAAAATTAAAAAGAAAAATTTCAGAGACTACCTAAGTTCAAGCGTTACCACCCATCCACAGAGTAACAGACTCACATATAAATAAGTACTTACTCGCCATATATACAAACTCCTGTTAAATTAAGCATAAATAAATATATACAAACTTAACAATATTTCCCTCCTGCTTGCAAATCTAATGTTTCTTAACAACTCAGATATCCGATTTCATCCACAGGTGAAATGAGGTTGGCAGAGACGTGTGAAATGGAGGTGGATTACTAAATAGAAATATTCTCAAAGACTGGAGTAACCCTTTTGCACATTTGGCACATTTTAAGTGCATATTTTTCTCCACCTTTTTTTTTTAAATTCATCAGCATCCAGTTTTCCTAAATTTTTATTTTAACTAATAAACCATCTTTTTTTTCATTTGAGTTATATATCAAATCAATTAAAATAAAGAGCATGTTCTCTCGATCTTATATTTTTATGGTGTTGGCACAGTATACATGGCACAGCCTTTGGAATAAAAACAGGTTTCAATAATGCAAATGATAAAAGTTTTACATCACAGAGTAGAAAATCAAATAAAAAAAAATTATTGTACATAAAAATGTTATAGTCGGGACAGTAAAAAGAAAGCTCCCTGCTATGGAATGAAATTTATATTATTGGCTATAATTTTCAGTGCTGTATGTTGTTTATAAAAAAGGCATTGCAAGGGTCCAACACAGATAAAACATATTTTTATAATGAAATAAAATTATTTTTTTTCACTGGAATTATATTTAATCATAAACAGCTTTAAAGAAACATTGTTAGGGAATCATAATTCAAAGGTTTATAAAATCAAGACATTTTTTTTAAACCAAAAACAACCAGGTATTGGTGTGCAATATGACAGCTAAAAGGTTGAAATTTGAATTAATTTCTATCCGGGCAAAAACATTTGTTGGAGTTTGTATACCATCCCTTGGTTTGTCTGGGTTTACTGCAAGTGCTCTATTTTTCACCAAAAACAAATGTCACAGGTATATAATCAAATGGACACTACTATGCTAAAGGACCTTAGGCAGGGACTGTTATGAACAATTCTATGTACTCTGTAAAGCACTGTATAGTATGCGCTATATAAATACAAGAAATAAATGTTTTCTAAATTTCAAATGAAGCATTAGGTTCAGGTGAACATTTAACTAATGGCGGTGAAAGTCACTGAATTGGCAAAACACTTAATTTAGAAATTATGATTGTATCATCAACATGTGCAAATGTACTCTGGTGAGATCTGTGAGTTTGTTAGGCAGAAAGGGGCATTTAAAAGTGATTATTTTACAGAAACACAACATGTTAATATAGATAAAGGTATTCTATGAAACCACTATACTGGAGGTTCAATGCACAAAGCTAACACACAAGAATAAGGGTCCTAAAAGTGACAGTTATTTTAATCGGAGTTCATTGAGATTTGAAAATTACAATCACGCAGATGAAAAAAAAGGTTCCTTATCCTTGTGTTAGCATTGTGTAAATGGAGCCTCTTGGCGTGAAATAATGGGAATTATATTACCTTATAAGGAAGGGCAATAGCTAAGTGCAATCAACATTGACAACCAACCAGAGTTCACCTTTCCTTGATGCGCCTAGAAGAAACTGAAACCTGATTGGGTGATAGCATTTTATTTATTTTTTCATGTTTAGTATGAGATTGTGTAGGTTATGTTATACTGTTATTTTTATCTGTGTGTTTGTTTATATCATTTTAAACCAGGGGCAACATTATTCTAACAGTGCTTTCTGTGCATTTTTTTCATTTTATTTTTTCTTTATTGTTTGCTATCACGTGTATCATTTATAAGTATAATTTTAAGTGTGCTCTGAACTAGGATTAGAGATCAGAGCAGTTGTTGATGGCATCTTACAAAGCAAATCTTACAAAAAAAAATGTTTAAAAAAACAGAAAATACATATATATAGTTTGAGAATTTTCCTAGCTCACCATTTACAGTGATAACATGAATTATCTGGGGGAGCAAATTTATGAAATGTTACTCATATAGGAAAGAGGACAAACGGGTGGCAATAAAACTGAAAGTACACATATATCACAAGGACCAGATGCCTGGAATAGTGATCAGTGGTCACCACATCGCTGCATGCCATTCCCTTCTGCAGCAAGGAGCCCATACATCACACACGACTGCTGCAGGCCCCCTGGTCTTTCCATAACGTTCTTATATTTTCTAATCATAGCTGTGCACCTCAAGGAGTTAACAAAAAGCTTCTTTTTCTTCCATATATTTCCGATAGACTGTTCCGTTATTGTTCCAGAATTGGGTTACTATAAAGTATTCTTAAAAATGAAGAGGATACAAAGGAAGTCGTTGACAGAGATTTTTTGCACCCGATTGCGTGCTGGATGTCCGTGGGTTGCGTCATGGGCGCAGTCTGATATATATTTGTAATTCTCCAAAGCCAGTTCAATATTTTTCTTTTCTCTTTTTTTTTTTTCCGTTAAAGCTAAAATGAAAGATGTTATAGTAGGTCCAGCTTTCATTTCCGGTGCTTTTCTTCCTTGTCACTGTTTTTACTACCCGGTCCCTCCCCAGATGTGTGCCTGTTGGTGCTGTTGTTATTCAAGAACATTTTGTCCATTCCCTTCAGGGCCTCAGTAAGGTAGTTTTGCAGGGCCGTAAGGGCCGCACAGATAGCCGGGGAGCCAAAGCCATGGGTGATGAGGCTAAAGTGAGTTAAGCAGCTCTGGATTCCTGGTTCTAGGATTGGGCTAGGTCGGCTGTTGCCTATGGGCGTTCTGTCTTGAGCCAGAAGGTCTGTGAACTCTTTACAAAGTTGCCTGGAGGGGAAAGAAAACACAACAGGGTGAGATACTGGTAGCCAATCTAAAATTGTAAGTCAAAAAAAGCTGTGGTTCCTGCAAATAAATAACATTTTTTTTCAAAGTGGACCTGAACTAAAACTTTAGGTAAAAACTAACTAAAAGTGTAATTAAACCCTCAACAATAAAATCAGTCTGCATATGCAGTAAAGCATGCTTGTAATACTCACTGTGGAACCTAAGGGGGTCATCCTCTGCCGAGTGCTTCATCAAGTCTGCCTGTTTTTTTTTTGGGGGGGGGTTTTGTACATGTTTTGTATTTTTTTTTTGGGGGGGGGGTTGTTAACTTTTTTTTCTGAGTATAGATCTATGTTTATCCCAAGCATGTTTTGAAGCGTATTGACTGGCTCACTAACTCTGCTGAAAGTATCCCAAGCACAACTACCCTTTCAGTAAAATAATACCTTCTAAGATTAGTTTCTAAGATCTTTCTAAGATTCATTTCTATGATCCTCCCCTTCTCTTCTGCAGGGAGGATCAGCCAACTAGAACTCTGGTCTGTTCCCTTAGCAGAGATCACATGACCAAATGCCTAGGTTTATGTCAGCAGCACTGAAGGGCAGCTGGAGAGGAAAACTGTTTTCCTAGCTTTAATGAAAGTATATCTGTGGACAAAATATTTACATAGGAAACATCAATCTTTTTTTTTGCTGTGTCCTACTGGAGAAGTCTCTTTTCACTTCCTGTCCTAAAAACACAATGGAAATTGAGGGGAGCTACCTCCAAATGTGAAGGGTGAGTCCCTTTTACACAGTTATTACTGGCACAGGTTTAACCATATTCTTGCTCTGGTGCCAACTGTAAAATTTTTGAATTTTCATTACTTTCTGTCCCATTGACAAAGATCACCAGGACAAACATAGATAATAATTCTCTCCTGTGACACATGTTCTAAGAGTTACCTAATCTATCCAAACCCTTAAAAAAAAGTGTTGGATGTCCCATGTATGTATCCTTTTACAAACTATACAGAGACATTTTTTTTAATTGTAATAATAATGTATCAAATGTATAAAATGTAATAATAATTTTAATTTAATTTAAAATAATTGATAATATTACTGGCATTAGGTTCATCACAATCACATTTATATATAAAAACACGGCATTTACAGAAACCATTACATTTTTCTTAACATCGCCATTCCCCAATTCCATGCTAATTGATAATATATCTAATTATTCAACGGGGTTAAGGGTGTAATAGGATAATTGTAGCCCTTCCTGACCTGTCAATCACCCCGTAGAAATCTGAAAGGAAACTTTGAATTTGGAAAGCAAATGGCAAAAAGTCAAGCATTATCCATCTTCAAAGTCAGCAGTAAGAGATCTGCAACTTATTAAAGGTCTGAGCCGCTCCTATCTCCTGACCTCAAAAAAATGAGACAATGAAATTCAAATCACATTAAGCAAAACATGTGTTAGAAATGGAGTAAATTTTATTTTTTTTTTTTGCTTGTGCCTTGTGGATATCATCAGAAGAAATTACCAGCATAATTCAATGCCTTTTTGTGGTTTTCAATGTATGCCTGTATCCTTTACTTAAAGTGGCCCTATTGGTCCTTTAAAAAGATTGAAATAGCTTTTCTCTGTAATACAAAAGATATCACTTACCTCTCTAGCAGTCTGTGTTTTCCACATTCCTCTGTTGTAGTGCTGCAGCCTTCAATAAAGTCTTCAGCATTTAACACTTCCAGGAGTGTCGGAGGCATAGGCATGCGCAGGGGCTATGCATCGGCACACCCTAATTACCCTGTGTGCATTACCCTGTGTGGTGTGCCAGCGGCAGCGGGGAGATGGGAAAAATCTCCCACTGACCGACTCTGCCATAAAACTGTGTATGTGTATATATATGTGTATGTATATATACATATATATATATATAGAGAGAGAGAGATAATATGTACACACACACACACATGCATGTGTGTCTGAGTTTTGGGGTGCACACCTCAATGCAATAGGATGTGCACATCTTTGGTTGGAGACCTCTGTCTCCCAATATGCACTGATGCTCCATCCTCCTGCGCCTATGTCACTATGGAATGCAGCAATGATGTAGAGGGTCGGAGGAAGGAGCCACAGCATATTACAGAGGACACATGTGTTCAAAACTCCTGGAAGTAGCAAATTTTGAAGACTTTGCTGGAGGCTACAATGCTGGAAGGCAGGGAAGGTAGAAGACATGTCTCGGGACAGTGAATGAGCATAACAGCAATCGTATTACAGGAAACAGCTATTTCAAGCTTTTTATAAAGATATGGGACTGACCATTGATGAATTATTTTTTCAAACTGAAGACCCAAGAATTACATACTACATAGTTAATCTGGTTGAATAAAGACACAAGTGCATCGAGTTCAACAAACTGAGAGAAAAAAAGAGACTTGCTACCCTGATATTAGCTATGCCACCTAATAGGTCACTTGTCTGGAACATTCATAAATTACAAGAGCTTTTGCAGATTTTACTGGCTGCATGCTTGTCCCACATCAGTAAATCACTGGGCAGTAAAGTCACAATAGGAAGCTTTCAACAAAGCAATGCAGAATGCAGTGCCTGTGGGAAGTGCAGTTCGCAACAGAAACCCATTGAAAATAATGCATATTGATGTGATTAGAGCAAACTGAACTTATATTGGTTACGTTACAATGTTACACATCATGAAATGATAACATATACCTCCTAAAATCAGGGGTTGGGGACTTGCTATGTAACTACAGGAAATGTGCCTGTGATAATGGCAGTGTGTGTAATCTTGTATTATGCAGATTGCTTGGTTATATGCAAATAATGTGGTTAGATTTGTTCTCAACATGAGGCTTGTCTCCACCCAGAAAAATATATTTTTACAGACTGGACAACTCACACTTTACACAGCTATAAACCATAAACTGTATTATTATTATTGTTGTTATTATTATTACTAAGTTTCCATAGGCTGTCTTGTTAGACTTGTTAAGATTGCCATGTTCCAAGAGATTATCTTGTAGACCACCTCATTCTAAAGACTGCATTGTAAATGACAAAGAGCCCAAGACTCCCAAAGACTACATTGTTAAACTGCTCTGTCTTGTAGATTACCATCTTCCCAGAGACTGTCTTGTAGACTGCCATGTTTTCAGCGACTGCCATGCTCCCAGAGTCTGTCTTCTAGACAGCCAAGCTTACAGGGACAGCCTTGTAGACTGCCTTATTCCAAGATACTTTACTGGTAAACTTATTTGCTTCAAAAGACTGCTTTGTAGACTTTCCAAAGATTGTCTTGCAGGCTGCTTTGTTTCCCTAGACTGCCTTGTAAATTGCCAGAGAATGCTTTGTAGCTTGCATGCTCCAAAAATGATTTCAATTATTGTTAATGTTCCCAGAGACTGACTTGTAGACTGCCATGTTTCCATAGACATCCTTGTGGATTGTCATGCTTCCAGAGGTTTGTTGGAGATTTCTTTTCAGAATGTTGTTTTCCCAGAGACTTCCTTCTAAACTGCCATGCTCCCAGAATCTGCTTTGTAGACAGCAAGCTTCCAGAGACTTCCTTTTAGACTGCCATGCTCTCAAAGAATGCCATTCAGACATTCAGACAGCCATGTTTTCAGATACTTTCTTATAGGCCATCATGTCTAAAATATTGCCTTTCAGACTGCCTTGTTCCCAGATGCTTCATTGTTAGACAGGTGTGCTTCAAAAGACTGCTTTGTAGACTTTCAATAGATTTCCTTGTTGACCTTGTAGAGTGAAATGCTTCCAGAGACCGCTTTGTACACTACAATACTCCCAAAATTGCGTTGTAGACTTTTAATGCTTCCAGAAACTGCCTTGTAGATTGCCATGTTCCCAGATATGTCCTTGTAGATTGTCATGCTTCAAGAGCCTTGTAGACCATAATGCACCTGGAGATTTCTTTCCAGAATGTGATTTTCCCAGAGACTACCTTGTAGATTGCCATGAACCCAGAGATTACCTTGCAGTCTAACAACCTCTCAAAGACTGGCTTGTAGCATGCTATGCTCAAAGAGACTGCTATGTCCCCAGAGACTGCCATGATGCCCAAAACTGCCATGCTCCCACAGACTTCCTTTTAGACTGCCAGCCTTCCAGAGAAGACAACCTGTCTTGTAGACCCCCCATGATCCCACATACACATCTGCTGTACATTCAGCTCCCACAGAGACACTCATTTACTGCAGAGTGCACACACAATGATACATACATACACAAGGATCTTGCATGGTGCTGATATGAGATCGGTCTGATATAATTTTTAGGAAATGTGAAGAATGAATGGAATACTGAAAGCTGCACACATCACTTCTCTGAGCACATTGCAAAGAAAATCCCATCACATTACGAGCAGTTTTAATCTCACCTATCCTCGGTTAGTGCTCATCTTAATCTAATCTTCCCATTTTTACATGTCCTAAAACACACCAGCATGATATTTCTTTCTGTATATACTTTAGAATCACTCCATTCTGATTCACTATTTTCTATAGTCTGAACTCATACTGCTCTGACCTTCCATGCTGTACCCCCTCCAAAATCATATCAACCATGAACTTCTTTCACCAAAAAAGAAAAGTATTTTTATCATGGAAACAAATTACATTTGCCATATATACTGCATGACATGTGTAATCTCAAAGAATGCTCATTTTATCATCCCCCAAACCAAGGAACTTTAATAGAGAAATTGTTTTCCACTGGGATGACACAGCTTGACATTACTGGGCCTGGAGCCCAGAATATTCAACCCTGTTTATAAATATAAACTTTTTTTAAATCTAGAAAGTTTTGGTGGCAAAAAAGATATTGTATTTTGCACATCCTGCTTATCATATTCCCGTGTAGTCAAGCTGCATGGCCCTAGTGACCTACTCTATAACATTACATCTTGTGATCCAGCAAGAGATCCTTAACATTAAATCCCAAATTAAGTTTTAGTTTAAATCAGCTAAATACATTCCAGGTGCATTAAAAAGCTATTCAAAGTCCTACAGTTTGTTTTCATTAGAAAGCAGTGAAAACCTTAGTAGAAAAGCCTTTCCCCTGCCAATGTCCTACAGAGAAAACCCTTGCTCTCTGTGTGGAAGCAGTGATCTGTCTGCAGAGGTCCAGCACGCCGCATGCTGAGTCAGAGCTAAAGCTCTCCAACCACCAGGAAGCTTTTCCGATTACAGAGATAATGGCCTGAGTGAACAAGGGGTGTGCTAGACTGTCCAGCACACCCATTGTTCACTCAGGCCATTATCTCTGCTATCAGAAAAGCTTCCTGGTGGTTGGAGAGCTTTAGCTCTGACTCAGCATGCGGCTTGCTGGACCTCTGCAGACAGATCACTGCTTTCACACAGAGAGCAAGTGCCCTTTTTCTACAGCATGCTGGCAAGGGAAAGACCTTTCTACTCACATTGTGGCTGCTTTTTAAAGAAAATGAGCTGTGCACTCTCAACGTCTCAACTATATGGCTTTACACACCTATTAATCCACCTCAAATGTATTTATCTCATTTAAGATGAAAGCTAAGTTGGGCTTGAAACACACAATGCAACAACTATGTGCAAGAAGCAGAAACAAATAACAACTAAATGAAAGATCATTGATTGCTATGGGTTACTGCACCTAACAGATGGATGATAAACTTTCCAACACATTATGACCAAGATGCATACTGTGGGAGAAATGTACTACTGGTGCACACAAAATCTGGTGCAGCTTTGCATAGTAACCAATCAGCTTCTAACTTCAGTTTGCTCAAATAAATTTTGAAATGAAAACCTAGAAGCTGATTGGTTACCATGCACAGCTGCAACACATTATGTGTGCTCCAGTTTTAGTAAAATCTCCCCCTGTATGTCTCCAAATTGGGAGAAAGAAACAGTAGTGAAGTAAATGACATTTCTTTCCAATCTCCTGATACATATATCTGTATTTATACACCTACTTCCTACACAGGAGTAATTGCCAGTGAGTTGCCGGTTATAATTCTTTAAATATCTTTTGGCCAACAACTGATTTTGTGGTGGTGAATAGTCACAAGCAGGGGATGCACAACTTCCAGGATCCAGAACTTGACCATAATCAATAACCCTCCACAGCCATAGCTGCAGATAAATTGATAAATACTATAGTAGATAGAGTACCAATTATTAAAAACTTGAGATATTAGTAAGCCAGCTTTAGAGGCACTGCATTCTGTTTCCACTCTGGCTAGTGGTACTACAGCTTCTTTGAAAATATGATTGTTATGGCACTGGGTGCTTATGTACCTTCTCTGCCAGTAGGTACTTCATCTAGTGGTCCTACCTCTCTAGGTCTTAGCCTATCTGTACTGCCTACATGTTGAAGCCTCCATTTGACAATACAGTCTATAAAAAAGGAATTATGTGGTGAGATGGGCAGAGTAGGGTTATGATTTATTTAAGATGATAAATGGTAATGCTAGAAAAAATCAATCATGTGCCAGGCCCTTTCTAGGCACAGAAGAGTCAGCCAACCACCTAGAGTGCTAGTCAATGGAGGTGGCATCAGGACAAAAACACAGCAGCAATTTAGGGATTTGCCCTTACTTTGAAAAGCATCCAACTTTCAGCCTTTCCCATAGATCCAATTTTTATTTGTAATTTGCATTGCTTCTTGGTATTATTATTATTATTATACAGTATTTATAAAGCGCCAATAGTTCACTCAGCGCTGTACATTACAAAGGGGGACAGAACATGTGACAATACCAATACAATGCAAAACATGAGGGGATCGAGGGCCCTGCTCTTTCGAGCTTACAATCTAGAAGGGACGGGATAGTGGTACAGGAGGAGATAGCTGTGGGGGATGGAGTGGTAGGAAGAGTGGAGGAGGTCGGTCAAGTTAGCAGGGGGTGGGGTAGGCTTCCCTGAAGAGATGGGTTTTCAGGGTGCACCTAAAGGAGAGGAGAGTAGGGTGATAATCTGATGGGTTGGGGAAGGGAGTTCCAGAGGATGGGTGACACCCTGGAGAAGTCCTGGAGGCGGGCATGGGAGGATGAGACCAGGGAACTAGAGAGAAGGAGGTCTTGTGAGGAGCGGAGTGTGCGTGCTGGGTGGTACTTGGATATTAGGTCGGTGATGTAGTTCGGGGCAGTATGGTGGACAGCTTTGTACGTCAGTGTTAGGATTTTAAATTTGATCCGTTGCGCAATCGGAAGCCAGTGGAGGGATTGGCAGAGGGGGGTGGCAGAAACGAGCGGTTGGAAAGGTGAATGAGTCTGGCAGCCGTATTCAGGATCGACTGAAGCGGGGATAGCCAGCGGCGAGGCAGGCCAGTGAGGAGGGAGTTGCAGTAGTCGAGTCGTGATATGATGAGGGAGTGGATGAGCTGTTTAGTGGTTTCTGGGGTTAGGAACGTGCGTACAGAAAACTTGGGGAGGGGGATTACAGTACGAGATTAGCATCGTGCACAACAAAAAAGTTCAGCTCATGTAGGCAAGCTAGACTTTATAACATGGAAATTATGTCTTTACATAAATCTTACTCTCTTCCTTTTTTCTCTTTTGAGAATAGCAGTAACCCATTGGCAAACATACATGCAAGATCAATGATCTGAGTTTGCAGAGTCAGTTACTCACTTTGTTGCCAGCAGCATGTTCTTTCTGGAGTGCAGATCAGTTGGGTCTGTGTGCTGTCTGTTCAAGTATTCTGACACTGCCTTGGCTGGAAATTCTGTTTCACAGATGTAACCAAAATCCCGGGCAAGATGGACAGCTTCACCTGCACAGAAAGTACATTTATGGTCAGGACTTTCATTTTGGGTGTGCGCAAACACGGCTCACAAGACACCAAATGGGCCACAATGGCAAGAGGATAAAAACAGACAGCATTAAAAAATAAGAACACTTTTCATTTTTCTCCTCCTAGCATATGAATTCTCTACTATAATAGCCTATTAGAATTATATAAATAAAGCATCCTGTCTTAAATTCAGGTTTCATTATTTTGTAGACTTCACCTCCATACCATCTCTACAATTCACCCCTTTTTAACTAATGAAACCAACATTCTACTGATTATTGTAATGCCCTTCTCTTAGGCATACCTCTACACAGGCTATTCCCCTTCAGTCTCTCATGAATTCTGCTGCCAGACCCATCCACCTTACCAACCGCTCAGTGTCTGCAACCCCTCTCTGCCAATCCATCCACTAGCTTCCGAATGCCCAGCAAATTAAATAAAAAATATTATCAACATGCAAAGCCAATCACAATTCTGCCCCAAGCTACATCACCAATCTTATCTCCAAATATTCCCAAACCATCCTCTCTGCTTCTTTTAAGAGCTCTTGCTCTCTAGCTCTCTTGTCTCCTCCCATGTTTGTCTCCAAGACTTCTTTGCAGCCTCTCCCATCCCTTGGAACTCTCTACCTCAATCTTTCCAGCTATGTCCTACTCTGGCTGCCTTTAGGCAATCCTTGAAAACTCATCTGTTCAGGGAAGTCTAATAATTGAACTTTTAATTCTTCCATCAGCTCATCCTTCACAGTTATTAGCTTCTGTACCACTTGCCCCTTCTTATTAGATTGTAATCTCCTATGAGCAGGGCCCTATTAACCCTCTTGTATGTTATTGTTTTGTAACTGTACTGTCTCCCTATATTGTAAAGAGCTGCACAAACTGTTGGCGCTATATAAATCCTGAAAAATAACGGTAACAATAATTTCATTATTACAATCACAAAATATGGTTGTTGAATGTGGTCAAATAAAAATGAAGTTTAGTGGATGAGTATTTGGCCAGTCTTTGGCGATCATGTGTTAAATGTGTAGTTTTAAATTTTGAATACAATATATTAGGAATAGAACCTTTGCCAGGTTTTGATTGCTCTCTGTATCCCTACTAGATTTAACCTATTTGTTCTGGTGAAGGAATATCCAAATGTTTGAGTTGTTAAAAGAGAACAGTAATAGAGGGAAAGTCTACCATTGATGACACTATCCTGGTGACATTAAGATATTGACTTTGTTTTTTTAAAAAAAATCCTCTCACTTACTGTTGTGTCTACTGGACAAAAGTGGAAGAAAATCTCTTAAATGGGACATCGATGGAAAAAAAACCTTAATTAGGTTTTAACCCTACCCTATTCAATCCAAAACCAAATAAATTGCACTTGTCCCCACTCATAGCTAGAGACCAAAAATAACTAAAAATAAACAGTAATAACCAATAGATTGGTGTGATGGCTGCTTCCGTTAAAACTATTGTAATCAGTGGTAGCTGTAGAGACAGTAGTGCAACATATAGGTATAGTATAATCCTGACATCTCTGGAAGTCACAAGGTGAAAGTTGAAGGACAAGAAGAAACAAACACATGTTCTTTTTAAAAGGCAAAGCAGAGAAAAAAAAACAATAATTAGGCTTAATATAATTCTAACTGGCACATTCTCTGTTAGCTGTGCTATCAGGTTTCTGGCCTGGAGCGTCAAACTCTTCTTCAAACTTGCAAGAATGTGACTCCGGCACACAAGAAAGCTGGGAGGTAGCTAGGGATGATGAGAAGTCAGGCTCGGAGGGGATTCTCGCAGAATAATTTTTTGTAGGTAACCTGGGGGAATTGGATGTATTTCAATATTTTTGGGCAGGGTCCTTGTGTATTCTAATGATCAGGATTAGTGTTTCATTGTTGAGGAAAACTAAAGGCAACCCGGGGGGACTGCAATGTCCAATAGCCAAGAGTTTTCTTCAGTAGATAGGGCCATATTTATAATTCCTATCTCCATAGGCCAATCATCTTATACCACTCTAAACCCAAAGGTCTGGCAGGTTCCAATCAGTATCCTAATAACAAGATCAGACCAGGGTTTTCTTAATGCATGGGCACCCCTGGGCACTGCCCTAGGGCCCCAGGTGCATGGGGCCCCAGGATAATCATACATTATATTATACTTGCTAACTGTCCCAGATTTGCTGGGACAGTCATGCTTTTTACTAAGCTGTCCTGGGATGGCTGATTGAAAGTACTAATAAATATATGTTTAACTCTATCAACTATGTATACTTTTATTCTTGAGAGTAGGTGCGTAAATTGAGGCAGGCTGGTAGGTTCCTCGGTGCATTACTTTTCCCAGGGGCCCATGATGCTGTTAAGTTGGCCCTGGATCAGATGTCACAGCCACTTAAGGTCATTGACCACTACTCAAAAATGTTAGTGGCTATCTATGACCTTAAAACTTTCAGTGACCTGGAAAAGGAGAAACTGCTTGTGAAATAAGATCACCAGACTTGCATACAGTAAATGGCTACAAGTATGTGGAATTCTGACCATCACATCGCCTATAAGCTTGTTGGAAGTCCCACTAGAAACCATTGGGCATTAAATGATGTTAGTCTGTCCCATGGGTCTATAATAACTTCCACTCTTCTGGAAAGGCTTTTCAGGAGACTTTGGAGTGAGTCTGTAAAAATGTGTTCCTATTCAGCCAAAAGAGCACTTGTGAGGTCAGGTACTGATGTTGGGTGAGAAGACCTGCCTCGCAAGTGGCCATCCAATTCATCTTGAAGGTGTTCAGAAGGGTTGAGGCCAGGCTCTGAGCAAACCACTGGAGTTTCTCTACTCCAAACTCATCAAACCATGTCTTTATTGAACTGGCTTTGTGCACAGATACAAAGTCATGCTGGAACAGAGCAGAGTCTTCCCCAAACCGTTTCCACAAGGTTGGAAACTCACAATTGCCTATAATATCTTTGTATGCCGCAGTATTAACAGTATCATTCACTGGAAACACCTGAACTCAATGGGCACAGAACAACACAGAGGTTTCCTACTTTATAACAGCTTTTGTGCAACATGTAACCACATTAAAACTCAAGGAAACAAACTTCTCATTACTCATCAATGTTATGTAGAATATTTTGAGACTTTTAAGGTACAAATACAAAATTAATATATATATAAAAAATATAATATAATATAATTTTATCATAGAAAGATTAAAACATGTAACATTAAATCATTATACTCACCAACTTTAGCGTGATTTAAAAAATTAAAAACATTAATGCAGAGTCAAAGTATTTTCATTATCATGCATCACTGCAGGATAGATTGAGGTTGATTTACTAACAAAGCAGTAACCATCCACTTAGCTTAGTAAATATAGATGAGTAGAGTAGTTTGTGGTAAAAACTGAGAAATTGGACGTTATGTGTACAGATCTGGTACACTGCTGTTTCCACTACATAGGCTTAATGACTATATACTTCAGGTTGTACGATCTTTTGCAATTTTTGTCTATATTTTCTTAATGGTTTATATAAACCCTTGTTATATGTACTTTTCCGTTATATATGATTTGTACAATTATGTTGCTCATATGACCCCTGCGTGGGTTCACTGTACTATTTCCTTTATTGAACATTTTCCTTATCTACATTATCTTGATTGGCTCTTCAATATGTCTGTGCATTGATGTTCCAATAAAGTTTTCTTTGGTACCAGAAATTTAGAAATCAACAAATTTGAAATTCAGTTTCAGTCACTGAACTGCTTATGTAAAAATTTGGTTAAATTATTTTTTTTTCAAATGCTCTTTATTTCTTTATTAGGAAGGTGTGTTTTTCGGTGATGCTTTCAGAGTAGTCTGTTTTGTTTAATTTAGGTGTTCATTGTATTGTTTTATATATATTATATTTTATTTTTCTTGTTCAAATATTTTATTGTTTTAAAGTACAACATAAGTTATATTAGTAAGCAAATGGGATATTGGAGGTGTACAGTAAATGAACAGGAAAGGTTCCCATTTATTCTAGTCAGGTAGCACTAACAAGAGTGAACAACAAATATCAAATAGAGCCTAACATGAAGGGAAGGAGGAGGGGGGAGAGGAAGGGAGGGATAGGGTGTACGGCTCCAAGGAAGGGGATACTGAAAATAGCCAAATAACCGCAGTATCAACAAAGGATGGTTCCCATAAAGCAGAAAACATAGATTATGGGTTGAGAAGGGACTCGTCAAAGTTGGGTGGGAGGAAATGCTCCACCCATGGGTTCCAAATCTTTTTAAATTATATTTTATTTTAATTTGAGTACAATCTCTTAAAATTTTTCAATTAGATTTTTTTTTTTAATATAAAATAATAAGGCTTTTGAGGGGCCTTTTATGGCACAGGGACAGGCCCAAAACAGCTTCTGTAACCCTCATAGCCCAAAAAACACCATTGCACTCCTAAAAAATACAAAAACAAAAAAAAACAAATTTCAGTTTCTCAATTAAGTTTTGCCAAATTAGTAAAATTTTGACAAAATCTCCCGCTTTTAGCTAAACTTTCAAAAAAACTGAAGCTCGCAGTTTCAAGCATCCCTGTTAGTAAAAGCTGATTTCAGTCATCCAATCACATGCAGTGTTAAATCCTGTTGTTTATAAACCCCAGCACATGATAGGGTTTTCAAAATGAAGATTGCTTTACTGTAATTTTTAAACACAGCGAACATTCCCCTTTTAAATTGGACACCTTGCTCTTTTAGTAAATCATCTCTCCTTGCTTTTCAGTTTAGATGGGTAATGGTTACCCTATGTAAACTCTGTCAGCGTGACGTGATTTATACACACCGCCCAGAGATTATCATCTCTTCCACCAGTCTGGGCCAGTTAATGTTTATATTATATGTTCTATGTCTTTGCTAAATATGAATGTATGAACCAATAATTATAATAGTCCTTGCCAGTCACAAGAGACAGATAGATGACTGGTAATTACAGGCATTTACCTCGCATTAGC